ATGCAAGTCGTCATATTCTCAAGGACGACGTTAAATCCAATTTCACCTCCTCACCTCAAAATGGTTGCCATGGAAAGGCCAAAATTATTTAATTCAGAATTCCAAAACTACCAACAAGGAACCAGTACACCACCAGCCTTATCTATGTGCCAAGTTTGGTGAAGAAATAGTGAACGGTTTTAGAATTCAGCCCCGAAATGAGCACTACCACTAATTCCAGTCCAAATCGAACTTGTCGCCACGGAAAAGCCAAAAATATTTTATTCAGAATTCCAAAACTACCAAAAGGCACCAGTAGACCACCAGATCTATCTATGTGCCAAGTTTAGTGAAGAAATAGTGAACGGTTTTAGAGTTCAGCTCCGAAATAGAGCACTACCACTAATTTCAGTCTAAATCGAACTTGTTGCCATGGAAACGCCAAAGTGTTTTTATTCAGAATTCCAAAACTACCAAAAGGCACCAGTACACTACCAGATCTATCTATGTGCCAAGTTTGGTGAAGAAATAGTGAACGGTTTTAGGGTTCTTGCTTCGAAAAGAGCACAACCACCAATTTTAGTCAAAGTCGAACTTGTTGCCATGGAAACGCCAAAAATATTGAATTCAGAATTCAAAACTACCAAAGTCACCAGTACACCACCAGATCCGTGTATGTGCCAAGTTTGGTGAAGAAATATTGAACGGTTTTAGAGTTCTGCTCTGAAAAGACAAATGTGCACGGACGGACGAACGGACGCACGCAAAGATGGAGTCCATTTTCATACCCCCGCAAAACGCGTTTGGTGGGGATAAAAAATATGGAATAATGTAAAGTTGTCATACTGTCCTTCGACAGCATTTTCCAAAACTAAAATGTACAAATTCCATTTCACCAATACAGACCACAATGCCAGACTCCTCATCACTCCTGTCAACATCATTGCAAAGGAAACTTAGCAGTGTGTCATTCCGCTAACACAATGCGCGATCCAAAGGCCAAATTTCAGCACTGTTACACGCCACAAATTGTCTAGCGATGGCCCAATGAACACGAAGGCACAGTACAGGAGGCGACCGGCCGATCACAGGACAGTGACGAGTAGGGTTTTCAGCACTGTTACATCGCCACTATAACAGGACGTACTTACTGCAATTTCCCCATGCAGAAAAAATCATATAAGTTTACATACCGATTATCTCCCTTTGCCAAAAACATACACACAAAACATTTTTGTAAATTTTCTTAAATTACAAGCTTGCAAATCTTTGTGGTGAGGATATGTACAGTGAGAAAAGTGACTAATATGATTATAAATACATGAAAATAGCGAAATAGTAATTAAATAGTCCCGCTGCTGTTTGAAAATCAAAGCTACCAAAACACTTGCAGCAGGCTTAGATTTTGCATTATACACGACATGACATATATCAAACGAACACATGATGAGAGAATACGATGCTGGAGAATATAATTTACAGAAGACAAATTGTCTAGCGATGGCCCAATGAACATGAAGGCACAGTACAGGAGGCGACCGGCCGATCACAGGACAAGTGACGAGTAGGGTTTTCAGCACTGTTACACGCCAATATAACAGGACGTACTTACCGCAATTTCCCCATGCAGAAAAAATCATATAAGTTTACATACCGATTATCTCCTTTGCCAAAATATACACACAAAACATTTTGTAAATTTTCTTAAATTACAAGCTTGCAAATCTTTGTGGTGAGGATATATGTACAGTGAGCAAAGTGACTAATATGATTATAAATACATGAAAAATAGCTAAATCGTACTAAATAGTCCCGCTGCTGTTTGAAAATCAAAGCTACCAAAACACTTGCAGCAGGCTTGGATTCTGCATACACACGACATGACATATGTCAAACGAACACATGATGAGAGAATACGATGCTGGAGAATATAATTTACAGAGACAAATTTTTCTAGCGATGGCCCAATGAACACGAGAGGCACAGTACAGGAGGCGACCGACCGGCCGATCACAGGACAGTGAGTGACAGAGTAGGGTTTCAACACTGTCACACGCCAATATAACAGGACGTACTTACCGCAATTTCTCATGCAGAAAAATCATATAATGCAGATTACATACCGATTATCTCCACTTTGCCAAAAATATACACACAAAACATTTTTGTAAATTTTCTTAAATTACAAACTGCAGAATCTTTGTGGTGAGGGTATGTACAGTGAGCAAAGTGACTAATATGATTATACATACATGAACAATAGCTAAATGGTACTAAATAGTCCGGCTGCTGTTTTGAAAATCAAAAGCTGCAAAACACTTGCAGCAGGCTTGGATTCTGCATACACGACATGACATATATCAAACAGACACATGATGAGAGAATACGATGCTGGAGAATATAATTTACAGAAGACACATTTTTCTAGCGATGGCCCACACACAGAGAGAAAAGGAGAGAAAGAGAGAGAGAGAGATTTGGTCCATATATAATGAACATAAATATGATCATTTCTATTGTTGATTTATATAATTACAAGAATATAGTGAAATACACAAATGTCGGTACATGAATAAAATTAGTGATTCAATGGAAAGTAAATTACATTGTAAATATTTTTGTCACAAATGCTCGTTATTCAACGCTAACTGGAAATAATTTGACAAATTGCTCCATGTATATTCGAACAGGTAAACCGGAGGTAGCCTACCGAAGTAGGATACTGAAAGATGAGGTCCGTGGACCCCTAAAACGTTTTCATGACACAAGGTCATTTTCACAAAGAGGATCGTTCTGAGCTGTCCCATCAACTGTCACTTTTCTCACTGTTCCGTCGTGGAGGCCGGACGTTGTGGTAGTGGTGGAGGAGGTTAGAGGCGAAGGTGCTCGATTGCCATTTGCTAAACGATGTGGCACAGTGTGTGGTTCCAGTTCAGTTTGCTTCCACGATTGCTGTGATTCTGGTCTGTTTCCAGAAGGTCCTTCAATACTTGTATGTACAGAGGACAAACAGTCATCAGTATATTTCTTCACAAAGATCACTTGAAGATGCAACTTGTGTTTTCCAGAAGCATATGTTTTGGCTTCGGAGGGATGCGTGGCTTCTCATTCCATATCAAGTCTTGAGGTAAAGATTGCAGGTTCGATTAGGAAACATAAGTTGACTTACCAACTTGTGGTATTTGGTCACATGCTGTGTCCTGTGTGCTGTTGTTGAGGTGTGCTGCTGATAGCGCTAGGAAATTTTGTAAGTGCATGCCTTTCCCTTGTTTCTCATTCTCTGGTAAATGTTTTGATTTAAAGGCTTGGCTTGGTAAAAGAAACTTGTGATGTGTTTTTGCGTTTTGCATTTTCCTGACGTAAAGCTGTTTCTCTGTTAACCAACACATTTGTGTCTTCCATTTTGATGAAATAAAGGACGATCTCGACCCATCATGTTGTAAGGGAGAATTCTCCCACTTCGTCACAGTCACCAGACGCTATGGTCTCCGGAGCTTAGGATGTATTATGGTGACTTGACACTTTGGTTTCTGCAGAATCAGGATCAGGATCGGCATAAATCTCATCGACACAATCATATTGATCCCAATCTTGACAGGGACTGGCTTCACCACTGAAATTACATGCACAATGTTAAAGTAATGGCAAATGGGCAGAGCAATTCAGGTTATTCCCGTCTTCTCGAAAGGTATTTCAAATGCTTGAGGTAGATTGTCGCTGGTTTCAAATCAAGATGATGGCTCTGATGAAGTTCATCAGGATCTGCTCACGTTTGATTCCAATCTGACATTTGGTATGTAATAATTGTGTATGATAGCATATTCAGTATCTTAATCCACTTGCAAAATAGTAAGAATCGTTTTTAAACACATATGGTACACAAAATAGACGAAAAAAGATTATACAAAAATGTGGTTTTACGAATGTTGATTGCAAAGTTTTTTATTTTGAACAAATGCCTGATGGATTCCAAGGCTGTTGTGCTGCCCGCCTGCTTGTGTTGAAGGAGAAAAATGCCAGAAGCTAACCTATGAATCCCGGAAAATTCTGCCACAGTATTCTGGTATATTGACACTTTGGTTTCTGTGGAATCAGGATCAGGATCAAGCACGTCATAAACATCATCATTTTGATCCCAATCGTGATAGGTACTGACTTCATCACTGAAATTACATGCACAATGTTAAAGTAATGGCAAATGGGCAGAGCAATTCAGGTTATTCCATCTTCTCGAAAGGAGAATTTCAAACGGTTGAGGTAGACAAAATTGCCACTGGTTTTAAATCAAGATGATGGCTTTGATGAAGTTCATCAGGATCTGCTCATGTTTGATTCCAGTCCCGACATTTGGAATGGAATAATTGTGTATGATAGCATATTCAGTGTCTTAATCCACTTGCAAATATTAAGAATCGTTTAAAAACACATATGGTACACAAAATAGACGAAAAGTAGAATATACAAAATGTGGTTTTGCGAATGTTGATTACCAAAGTCGTTATTTGAAAAAATACCTGATGGATTCCAGTAGTTTTGTTGAACAATAGTCATCAGTGGTCTTTCATGTCGTTCAGGACTCCAACAGAGAAGCATGAGGGAGTAGATTGAATCTGGACACTTAGCCGGTTTGGGGAAGAATCTGATTTCCAGATGTAGTGGTCAGGTACTCATATAACTGTGAAAAAGAAGATCATCAGTAGGCTAATGTTTAACACCTATCTCAGAGGGTGTTGGATACAAGGACAACTGATCACAAAGTTGAGTAGATGGTTCAAGTAATGTTATAATTCTGGGTAGTTAGTGTACGGCAGTGTAATGTTTGTGCAAAACATGCCATTGATAGAAACCAACGATGACAAAGGGGTCAGATCGACCAGATATCATTAGCAAGAGCTTATGCCTGACACAGGAACTGAGGACGGTGCATCACGACAAATTGAAAATAAATGCTGTTCAGCAATGAAGTTACACCTGATCTTTTGGAATACTCTCGAGTTTATTTAGATCCTTTAACTTATGGTAGGAGCCCCTCCACAGGATTAGACCAAAACTGAAGACATCACTCGCCCATGAGTGGGTACCATCTCGTATTACCTCTGGGGTGATCTGGCAAAACAAATGATGTATCAGTAGGGACGAAGCTGTATCAAACATTTTTAATGAGGGAAGAGATATGTTACGAGTAGGTTTATGCTGCCTTATATTACAGTGAATTCCTGCTTCGAAGTGGATAGGCACTGAGACTCTTATAGTACTGATATCCTGAAATCCTGAGGAACCTGTTATCAAGCTATAATGTAAATAAATCGCCATAAAATGACAAAGTTTATGAAGTCAAGACCCTACCTTCTGTACACATGTTCATCCTGTGGGACAACAAAACTTTCATCAGCAATCACCCCATCCTCAATGTTACATGATCTTCGTATGTACCCAAGGTCAGAGAAGTATACCTGTGACATGAAGAGAGGAAGTTTGTTAGAGGGTGCAAATTCAGATGAGACAGTGAGGGTTATTTTTTGTCAAACATCACATTTATCTCGTTGAACGACCTGACAACTATTCTATAAGATTATGAGGGATAGTAGCTTAGCAAGCGGGAGGAATTAATATGTCTTTATTTCTCTCCAGTTGCTGAAGAGAATAAGAGGTTTATCTGGTGGAGTCACCAAGCCAATTGCTAATGGAGAATTGATTTATTGTGTTGAGATGGGCAAAAACAGTTAGGGGATTTGATTGCTGTGCTAAATTTGTAGAGGATTATGTTTGTTATACCGAAATGGTGCTAATCCTTGGAGAGCGGAGATTCGAACCCACGAACAAAGTTTTATGTCATGCGTTAGTGACGGGAGATCGGTGCGTCTAATTGTGGCGCCTTGTCAGTCAATTGACCACTCGTGTGACCCTTCTTATTTCCAGATCAGCATAGCACTTTCATCACTAAATACAAGCATTTGCTGGTGTCAACCAGATGTTTTGGCATGGTGGGAGAGCTGTCTAAGGCGCTAGTGAGCTTGAGGTGCCGGGATCGAGCCCCCTATGACCGGGTGTAAAAACCTTGGAGTCACCGTCACTCTTTCAGTGCTGTCACAACCCCCTAGTGTACAATACACAACCCTGTGCACTTAAAAGAACCCATGCATCCGTTGCTGTACCTAGTTGTGGGTACAGCAGCGTGAAATAAACTTGGACAAGTACCTTGACTATGTGTCCCAGTCCACTCAGCTGTCAATGGGTACCTCGTAAGGAGGGAAAGCCACCAATAACTTGGTGCGCCTAGTGGCTGCAAAGAGTTGTATGTTCCCCAGAGTTGAGATTGATAATACGATGTGCCGTTGAGACTGATATCCAATGATGGAGAGGGAAAACCCAGCACGTTGAGGCATGTATTAGTTGCGTGGATATATATAAAATTGCGTGCACTATGTAAATGCCATAATATACCTTTGAGGACATAGGATGGTAGCATGAACATTAATACATGCCGCCCTCACCTTGTAATCGCCATCATCTTTAGTATCAGATAACCATATGTTATCTGTACTCAGGCAACCATGGACCCATTTTTTCGCTGATGAAAAAAGAGACAACGTCCTTGCTACTGCACTCAAACAGCGAATATACTTCACAGACCAGAGGCCGAAGCTCCTAACGTCCACCACGTTGCTTAAGGAAAGTTGTCCATTTGGGAAGTCGTACAACTGTGAATTGCAATGTACCTTTGCTACAAATGGGATTGTTATTACATACGTGCTTCTTTCTATTTCTAAGGAGAGGCGAAATCATAATTGTTAATCATGTTGTCAACACAATGATATTATTGGTGGATTAACTGTTAAGACCGTAAATACGATTGTTGTATGAAAGGATGCGTAGCTTATATTTGTTCCACAGATCCTCTGAGTGTATGTTTTGTTGAAATGATCAAACAATCTGAATTGGCTATGGAAACATTCTGCTGATATCATTATTAGATGACATGTTTACCAGGTATTCTGTTTGATTCCTTTCTTCAACAGTCACACGGCCGTATATTCCTGGGATGATTTCTGTATTCAACTGTGACTCTTCTGTTTGTGTCAGGCGTCGACGCAGTACATCCATCCTCTTGTTTGGTTTCAGCTAAGAATCGTATGAGGGAATAAATAGTGATCGTGTAATCTCTTTACTTAGTCAGTGGTTTACAGCAGACAAAATAACGGAACATATGCTGGTGTGGAAGCGATTACATCAAAGTAAGTGATTTTTTAAAACAAATGTACTGGAACTGGCAGATTAATTTCCGATAATAAACCATCTTGCAATGACACGCGTTTGATGTACATAATATGAACATTTCAATTTACTTCACATCATAGGGCTACTACAATGACAACTAATATCGACACTAAATGGAATCAATGTGTGTGTTCAGGTCGTTGTTGAATATTCGACAAGTATATTTCAGTTTTTAGGTAGATACTATGTTTGGGTTCGAGCTGAAGGATCGTGGATGTGAAATAATGTTACATTGCGACTCTGCACAGACGGTAATACAGATGGAAAAGTGATTCTCCTTACCCGAAAACCCACATCTTCGATGGGTTCTAATTCCTCATACAACGGTTCCCTCTACTGACGAGGAGGTTTGACTTTCTTCAAGGTTTTGGTAGGCATGAACTGTATCATCTGTTATAAAGACATATAACATTAAGGTATTTATGACAAGCATGTGCAGATTATGGTTCGTCAAGGGAAACTACTCTAGATAGTTATTGTCCTGAATCCCATAGATAGTACCAGGACGATGTACTCAGGGGGTAGCTTAATGGTTTTGGCATTCGCTCATCCCGTGTTTGATTGCCCACTTGGGTTTAACGTGTGATATACTTCCCAAGGGCGATGCAGTCATTTTAATATTTTCATGCTTAGGAGGTATATATAACTGCAGTAAACAATGCATGCTAATGTATACAGATACGTGGACTTGCTGGATCAGCCAAGACATACCTGTCTCATACTGTTTCCGGATCAGAAAAAGGAGATTCAAAAACGGACTGGAACATATTTCGTATATCTTGTATACTGTTGCTCAAAATAGTATATGTAATGAGACTAAATGAATTAATAACATGAAATAACAGGGAAGAGACAAATCAGTAGAGGTTTGATGATGATGATGATGATGATGTATAGACATATCATTATTGTGGCCTCAAAGTATGATAAGATGTCAGGGGAACGTACCATAACCACCATAACCGTCTGTTTCTGAATCCTGAAAAATACAATATTAATTTCTTGATATCCTGAAACATATTGTTTCACTTTAAATTGACCTTGGTTGTTTCTTGTATCAGAAATACCAACAGGATTATGATATATATAAAAACATAATGCCTATAAAACAGTGTGCTGCAGAAAAGGCATTATTTAGTCATTATAAGAAAAACAGAAAGTTTGGACACCCTACTTCGTTAGGGAGATCCTGATAGGATGTTCTGTCAAGTCCAGGAAACAAAATGTCTGTCACGGAAGATATCTTTTCAGATAGATCTACCAAAACAAAATAACAAGAAATGAACAATGTACAAACAGGCTTTATGACATGATCATGAAAATTCAGATCAAGAAATGTATGCACACAAAATGTACGGGTAATCAATGTTAAACACTTTGCGCTGAAATCTTACTGCATACAAATTAATACAAACGACAGATAATGTTATAGAGTGTTCACATCGATGACCATAGCATACAGAAACAGAAATCTTGTAAACGTCCTCTTTTAATTGAAATGATTGACATATACATGTAATCTACTGGCAAATATGACTCTGTTCTCTGTTGGTTACATAGCCATGTTGGAAACTCCGGTAACGCAGTGGCCAATTCTCTTGCTAAGGCAGCACTCTACAAATCTGTGGCACTATTTCTTATTCCCATACTCCGATTACAAAACTGCCAATCAATTCAAAGAAAGGGCCACCTAAGTAGATATAAATATATAAAATAAAAGAGAGCCAAATATCAGTTGCACCTACTTGGTCGCCCGTCCCAATTGGAAGAGGTCATTAAAGAACGTTGTCTCACGAGGAAAATATTAACAGATGAGGATGCTCCATTTTGTACAATGGAAGAATCACGATCAAGCATGTTCTGCTTAACAATATTCATTTTGTTACATCACAAGGGATCAGTATATTTCAGTGTGAAACAGTGATGGATATTTTAATGATGTTAAATACCGTTTAATAATCGTTTAAAATAAGTATAATTATTTTTTAGAACTTCCTTGAATATTTTTTGGTAAACAGATCAATGGTATTTTATAATTGGTAGGTTGTTGGATTGTAATTGGCTGTATCCTCAAATGGGGTTAAAGTATTTAAAATTATTTTCCTCCTGATAGGATATGTAAGAACATATCTTTCACAGTATATTTTACCCGACCACATCTTTAATCGTAGAATATATGTTCATTAAATTCCAGGCTAAATTTGTTACAATCGCCAATAGCTGTAGGGATGATGTAAATCCAGCTTGGATCTATGCAGATAGCAAAAGTACTGTAAGTCCCCTATGTTCCATAGTATGGTGATGAACCTTCATTTGCTGGCGATTAATATCCCGTTTTTATGTTGTATTCTTTTGAATAGTGAAATAATGTGTACGTTATATGCTAGGTTTAAATATCAAACTGTGATATTCTATTTGTCCTCACAGAGAGAAACCATACACTGGCGGAAAACATATTGGTTTACCGTTGGAGCTGCCATAACGGTCGTAGGTCTCCTCCAGTTTGCTTTTTGCTTCACACACCGACATCCGATGAGTGTCATCAAAGCGGAGTGCAGCTTTGGATGACGTCAAACACTGATGTTGGGATGCATCTTCTTGGTATAACTTCTTTCTGTTTTCTTTTATCTGGAATATGAGCATCAATGTAACGTTTTACTTTCTGAGCATGCGACAACACACACACACACACACACACACACACACACACACACACACACACACACACACACACACACACACACACACACACACACACACACACACACACACACACACACACACACATACACACACACACACAAACACAAACACGACATCCGTATAGTTTCGATGTGGGCCTTTATGTGATACCCAAACCTATCAATCCACACTGTTACATACATTGATCCCAATGGGTCCGTTGCGGAACAGTGGTAAATGGTGTTTAGATTATAAAACTTTTGTTACATTTACATCCGGTGTTGAGTAAGATTTACCATGTTTTCTATGGCGGACTCATTTTGCCGTCCGAGATCTGAGTATGGGAGGCAGCCGTGTGTGATGATTTCGTAGATGAGATGTCCCACCATCCAATTATCAGATAGCATAGAGAAACGATGTTGCTTGCTTGAGAGACTCTGGGGCAGACCATCTCATGGGAATGGACGAACATTCTCTGTCTAACAAGAAAGTCAGTCATTAAATGTAAAGGCCTTATATAAAAATATTCTTGAACCTTATTACTGCCCGACCCAAGAAATTCAACCCGACCCTAAGATTTTATTATTTTTTCTACTAGGGAAAATGCAAATTTGACTCTCAAAATGTGCAAGAATTTTTCCACACTTCTAAGTTCTAATTTTCTATCGAAGAAGGTGTAAATTTCCACAGAAATCAAGGGGTTTTGGACATAAATTAACTAAAATGTAAAAATACCCCAATCAACCCCCACCCCGACCCATATGTTGTAATAGAGTGATGAGAAACAAGAATATTTTTGTATGTGGCCTAATTAGCAGACATAAAATGAAAATTCAGGCATATTATGACTATATAAAAACAAAGAGTAGAACATGGTGAATAGACATACCGACAACAGTTTCTTCTCGTCCACATTTTCGCGCCAACATGAAGCGGCACAGCTTTACAGACTTGCTTTCCTTGTTGTATGCAAAACTGGCAGCTGTAAGATCTCTTTGTATAACGCCATGTTCATGAAGGGCGATAACTGCTTCCAGAGCTTGTATAAGAAGCCGCATGAGCTCAAGAGGTTGAAACCAGGCCTTGCTCTTTGCACTATAATAAAGCACCTTCTGGAAGTTCCGTTGACTGTAATCCTCAGTGATAGAGAACACAGGGAACTGGTCGATTCGATATGCCCACATAGACAGAATATGCGGGTGTGTAGACAGATCTCTCAGAACTTCGACAGAAGTGAGGTGGCCACAATCTGATGACTTGAATAGACTCCTTGTATATACCACGTGGACGTCCTCTAGAAATTAGAATATATATGCAACAACGCCATAAAACGGAGTGCCTGAGTGTAAAGGTACATTTACACTTATGTTTCAAACAAAACATACTCCAGATCAAAGCTTATCATATGCATCCACAAAGTAAATAGTTCCCATAGATATCGATTGACATTTTCCATTCCAGCCCGCCATATCAGGTTTATAAATGTTCTTTCTTTCTTTGTCATGTACACACTAAGAAATATGCCAAGATAGTCTTACCCAGACAACAAGCTAAATTACATAAAGATCCCCGATCTCTTTATTCATGTCTTATAGTATGGGTTTCTACAGATTTCATATCTGATGTGAAAGTTTAATACCTGATGGTAAATTGATGTGGAGCATGATTTTGTCAGAACCAATTCGAGTAGAAGCTACTTTCCAGCTTGCACTGCTTGTGGAATGGTTGATTGGTTGTTTGTGCAAGTGGTTGGTGCTGATTGGCTGTAGATGTTTCAGAACTTCTGTCACCATTAAACTTTCAGTTGTTTCATCATTGGCATCTTTCCACAGGGTCATGGCACCTTGTCTGATTACTGGAGTTTGTGAAAACAGCAAACATCTCGCCATACCGTACATGCTTCTGTCCAACTTTAGTGACAACCCAAAGGCTGTGAAAGCAGATTTGGCACGATCTTCGATATCCTCACCGACTGTATCTCCTGTTAAATATGTTACAGTAATTTGACTATTAGTAAAATACTGCTTCATAATTTGCAAATTCACACGGTGCTCCGTTCTAATGAATTCTACCCTACTGAAATCAAAACGAATTTTGGCTCTTTGACTGCTGGTTTCAAAAAATGAATAACAAAAACACAAGAAAACATTAAATCATATCCATCATTTACATAATCATTTGACAGATACTAACCTAAGGCATTCAGGTATGCAACCATTCCAGATGTGACCATCTGTATGACTCTCTCGTTCAGTTTGGATTTTGCAACACGTTCCTAACTCTGGGTTTTCCTGGCTTCAGTAGTAGTGGGAGAGAGACCAAGGCCTCAAGGGCCGTCTGGGGTTCGCACTGTGAAACACCTGTTGTATGAAAAGCGTGAAAAAATTTAGAACCATAACAGGTAACTTAAGTTCACTGCTAGAATGTACCCGAGAATGAGTTGGCATTAAAGAGATGAAATATTAAATTGCAACGACAGATTAGATTTGCCAAAAAAGTCTATATAGCTGTCTATACTTTTATCAGTGGTTCACAAATGAGATAAGCAATAACGAAACACTTTACAACTTTGTCAAACAACTAAATTTTAACATAAATCCTGGTCATGTATTTGTCTGTTAGCCTTGCGTTAAAACTACAGCTGACATAGTTTTAGCCTAGTTGATACACAAAGGGAACTATGCCTATTCAACATGTACATTTAATAATTTATTTAACTCCAAGATATTATGAAGAGTGTTCAAAATAGGAATAGTTCACTGAATGTTACTCTCAGGTTCTTGTTTTACCTCAATAGAATTGTACCCAAAACCATAGAAAAATGAACAGGCCAGGACTTCTTCTTCACGGTGGAAAGGTGCTTCCGATTCATTCCAATTGCCTTCACTGCTTTCTCAACGTCATTAATGTGTTTTCGGATGTCATGAACAAAACTACTTATGTCACCGAAAGAATATTGTTTCCCAGGCTATGCTGTGAAATGAATTCCTTTACCCGATTGATCAGAGTATCCAAAGATGAATGACGGGTGTCTTGGAACACCGTTAAATAGACGAGAGTCAAAAGGTACGTGCAGATCAAATTAGGCACGAACATAGGATCTGTAGAAGCAGTCTTTGTCAGACAGCAATCAAACAGAGCCTTTTCAGCTGTCCGAAGATCAGAATGATCAATGTCTTCAGGTTTAGTTGAAAGCAGGATGTCCCTGAGTTTAGTAAGAACTTTATTCTGTACCACAGAAATTGGAACTGCCAGAAGTTCAGCAATTGCAGGTATGTTCTTCTTTGCAAAGATTTCTGGAAGAACTTTGGTCAGAAGACAACGAACTGTGTTTGATCTGTTGCTACTGTCATAAAGTGTTTCCTCGCGGCACATCTTTTGAAGTTCCCCTTGGGATGACCCTGATTAATGAGAATACATATTAGGAATTAAGAGCACGACAAACAGACAAGAGGCAAAAAGGTGATTACACAATGCCATTTAGAGTGGTTAAATGTAACATATGTTATATTTGAGAGTACACTTTCTTAGTAAAGTACAGACTCTTATACTTTGGTTGGGTTGAGTCCATCCGAGTTCGAACCCACACGCTCAGAGCCAGGCACCTAATCGCCAGCACACAAAGTCAGCCGCCAACCCGCTCAGCCACCGCAACTTGGAAGTGGAAGTAATCCCAAATATAACATATGTTACAGAAAAAAGGTGCTTTAAATCTATCTATAAGACGAAATGTGTTTCCAGAAATTCACTTGAATTAATTGTACGTGTGATATATGCTACTGTTAATTACAATGAGTTATGCATGACAAGTTTGGTAATGATTTGATCAATTATACCCAGCTGCGTTATTCCATCTGTGGAGGTTTGTTTTGTGTTACAGTGTGGACTGTCATCTTTGTGTTTTTTCTTAGTATTTCTCCTTTACTTCACTTTTGTTACATTTTAGATGTGCTTTAAAATTAATGTTCGTTATAGCTCGCTAGCAATGTGCCAGGTGTAAATATTGTCGTCTCTATCCTTGCGTTGAAGTTACTCATAAGGAATATGACCAAAACACTTTCACTCATCCTCCAATGGAATAAACCCTCGCTAAAAACAGTTTGTGTTAATTGTGTGCGGAAATGGTTGGTGTGCTGGTCCAATAGGGCGATACTCCCTCCTTTTGAAATGATATAAGCTTTGGTCCCAAACTTGGTTGGTTCCTGACTCACTGCCCACTGTGACAACTTGTCATTTGCGGAGACGAAATCCAAACTGAAAGGGACCGTGTTGTATGGAAAGACAATTGCTTAATACAGAATATTTGAAACTTCTTTGTTTGATGATTACATCTAAATCACACAATATCACGATAGAAAACTACGTTGCCAAATCTCGTAATGATGAAAATCTGAAATTAGTGCTATGGTCCCCAATATGGTGATCTACCGTCAGCTGTTGGCAGCCTGTTTTTTTATATTGTATTGTCTTGTTAAATCATTTAGATTTACATACCAGTTTTTATATACATAAATGTGATAATCTTGTTTATAGTTTACCTGTATTTATGGTGAATTTAAAACTTCTTTAATGGGCATGTAGAAGTTGAGTGGATGAAGAATGATGACAATTTTTATGGATATACAACTTCTTTTATTCTGTGAAGGACGACGTTTCCACATAGATTGTCAAGCAAGTGATACATGAGAAACAATCCCCGTATGCAGTTCACGATGAAATCAGAAGCCAACAACAAACTCCCCTTCCCAGATGCCCTGGTCCAGAGAGAAGGAAACAGGCTGAACACCAGCGTCTACCGCAAGCCAACCCACACCGACCACTATATCCATTCCTCCTCCTGTCATCCTCTTCAGAGTCAAGAGAGGGGTCATCGCAACCCGAACCTGACGAGCCAAGAGTATCTGTTCAACACCTCAATCCCTTAGTACCGAGGCTAGACCGCATCAGATATGTTTTCACTAAATACAATGAATACCCTGCCCCTTCGTCAACCGGACGATCAACAACACCCTCGACCCAACGACCAAGCCGCCCCGACAACAAACAGCCCCTTCACCATCAGTCCCTATACATAGGATCAACCAGTCATCACATCCGTCGACTCTTGAAGCAGCAAGCTGACATAGACGTCACCTTCCAAGGAGGTAACAGCATCCGGAACCTCTTGCAGGCCACAGGTAGACCCAGGTGGTGATCGGAAAAAAAGTAACAGGAAAAAGAAACTGAAAAAGTGACAGATTTTGCTAGGAAAAGTAACAGAAAAACTTGTTCAGTTTTTGTATATTTATTGACAAAGTATAGCAAAACAATTACAAGCACATTGTTTGCACCCATAAGCAATGTAATCAGTTCTCATTTTTAACTATATGTTCTTATTGAGTCTAATGTTCTGGCCAACCCACTCAGAGATTCGGAGAGGTTAGGTCCCATACTACCTACATCCCGAACTGCCAACAAAAATATTGTAGGCAGCGTGGGACATGATTTTTATGGAATAATGGAACAGCCCAATTATCACTGAAAGCAGGATTAGCATAAACCTATTTAATCAAATTGGGTAGGCTTGTTTTTATCACGTGAAAACTTGAAAACTGCAGCAGTCGTCGATCGCAGAGGGAGAAACGGAACATTCCACTACCTTGTCAGGTACAGTGTAACATTCTTTAATTAAAGCAATTGCTCGTGTTATTTGTAGTGTTTAACTTAAATAAAGTAACTAGGACAATGAATATCAAAATAAAATGTGACTTTATGGAACTCGATAAGCAAAGGTGTGTCGAAATTTTGGCAAGAGAAATGGCTTCTTTTACCCAGTACTCAGTCAACTCAAGAACTAGATTGTGATTTGGATCCAGGTCAGATACGATTAAATGGGTTCACTATGGTAATGTATGAAATATTATCTTTGCAATAAAAATACAAACCACAAATATATCAAGCAATATTGCTAACAGTCTGTCACAACTCAAGATAACTTCCAAACGTATTCAGAAATATAGGAATATTATTGTAAGAAAACCAATGATTGGAAATTCTTTTTCAAAGTTTGTTATTGAAAATTGCTTTTTGATATTTATACCACTGAAAACAATACAGTGCGGGATAGTGAGTCATTTTGTATTTATAGGAATTCTTTGATCAGATTTGGTGCATGGTTAAAGTGAAGTTTCAAAATTCTTAGTCTAGTTATTAGAGTTACAAGACACCCTCTGACAAAAATTTGACAATAATTTCCAGCCAACTTTAAAGACGATATTTATCATGATACTATATTGATGTTGAGTGGATAAATTGTCAACACCATATTTTGGAAAAGGTTTTCAAAATATTTTAGGATAGTTTTACGTTTACTGATGTATGAAGTAATTTAAGTTTATCATATTTATCATCTGAGTGAAAACAATTTTACAGTTATAATATCGAGGACATTAAACTCTGAATGAAGAGATGTGGATTGTGTTGGATCCACACAAAAGTTTGCCAAGAAAGTTGGATATAAAGAATGTTTAATAGGATATGTTCTTTGTGGGATACATTGATACATTGTCAACCTAAAATAATCTATGAATTTGTTAATCTGGTTTCTTTTCATATTAGCATATTCTACACTTTGCATATTGATCATTATTCTAAATGAACACTGTTTAATGGGGTGCATATATACTAAACAGCAAAAGAAAGGTCAGTTTGAAATTTTCCTTCGCAGAAACCGATAACTGTAAACTCATTTTAATGTTTTGATTGTATATTTTGACATCTCCAATTTTACCTGAGCAAAGACATTCCTTACCAAACTTAGAATGGAACCCAGGAAATGGTCTCAAAGGCTCAACCTGATCTCGGAGATGGTACGATGTTTTCTCTGTTTTCATGCAACTCATGCTGCACGTGTTGTTCACAAAGACCAGCCCTATAAAATGCACCCCAAAACCTGGTTGAAACATTCACATTACAACGTCAGCAGGATGCCCTTCTCACGACAGGAACAAGGCGCTAGAAAGACTTGAACTTGGCCACACCCGCACAAGCCGTTGCCAATCACTTCCATGTCACCGTTCGGACCATCTACCGGCAGCAGCAACGTTTCCGGGCCACCAACACCACAATTGATCGCCCGTACTGGCAGACCAGGATGACCACAAGACGACAAGACCGCCATTTTGCGCGACAGCATGTACAGAATCCCTTCATGTAGGCTTCCGAAAGAGCACGCCAGACAGTGAAAACACACGGAAGAACAGTCAGTACTGATACAGTACGCCGACGTCTTAGCGGGAACCTCCATTTGCTGTAGACCTTACCGTTGACCTATCATCACCCCTCGTCATCGGCGTGAACGTCTACCGTTTGCCCTACAACACCAAAACTGGCGATACAAGCAAATGGAGAAGTGTTCTGTTCACAGATGAGAGTCGGTACTGCGTATCAACTGCAGATGGCGACGACGTGGCCAGCGTTACTCAGACCAATGTGTTATGGAAAGAGACTCATGGGGAGGTGCAAGCATCATGGTATGGGGTGGAATAGGCCTGAACCAGAGAGTGGGTCCTGTGGTGTTCCAGAACCTTGGTCCAGGGAGAGAGGCGACGGCATCACAGCAGCGCGCTACATCGACCAAGCCTCAGACCCCACGTCATACACATTTCGCACGTCACCGGAACAACAACATGTTCCAGCATGATAACGACCGGGCCTTTACTGCCAGAGCGACACGGGACTTCATACAGCAGAACGGTGTCAACAGTATGCAGTGACCAGCCCTTAGTCCTGATTTAAAACCCAACTGAAAATCTTTGGGATGAAATTCAGAGGAGACTGAATAATGACATACCGAGGCCAAACACAGCCGATTTATTAGGCCAGGCCTTTCTCAGAGTGTGGTTCCTGGTGCCAACAACCTTCATCAATCGATTAGTGTACTCCATGCATAGACGCTGTGCTGCAGTTATTGCCGCTCGTGGTGGTCACACTAGATACTGAAGTCAAGAGTCTGAATGGACTGCAAACGTTCACGTAATGTCTTGGAATTGTGCTGGAGTTATTCATTTATGTATCAGGATATTGTACACAAAACATTTGTAGCTGCACCCTAGTAGAAGGTCGCGTCAGCTAATATTTTGACTGACCAGTCAGAACACAGCTTACCAAATCGCGAAAGTTAACATTAGCACATACCATTTGAACCTGAACCTAAAAAGGCTCGAACGATTCCGACTGCTTTTTCCGCACGATCGCTTCGAGAGTGATATACATAGAGGACGCAGTTAAGAGTCGCTGAAAATAGCGTTTTTGTCAATATTGAAGGATGTCATCTTGCGGAAATATAAAGCTAATAGTAACTGTGTCATTAGAAACCCTAAGCGTATATACTGCAGGTCAAATATCTGAGTTTTATGCGAATTTTCGTTTGTTGAGATCAGTGTTAGCGACCATGGAAGAAAAAAATCTAGAAACCCGTTTTGTAAGTCCCACCTAGCCCTAACTAGTAGTCGTTGTCTGATTGGTGAAATCTCTTTCGGCCGTCTCTCGTTTGATTGACGGTCATAGGTCGCTGAAAGGTTAGCTGACGCGACATTCTACTAGGTTTTGTCAGACTCGGTATAGCGGTGTAACGAATAATACTGAGCCTAGATTTACTTAGACTGTGGAAACTTGAATCCCTAGTTCCCTGAAGAGAACGTAAAATCACTCAACCACGAGTTGCCTCCCTTCTCCCGCCAAAAGTGTCCCCATGTGACTATGGCCTATCTCTCATCATCACTCTCTCCTGAATAAGCCAAGAGTGAAGAAGTGATGAGAGGGACGGTTGGGTGGGCCCTTTAGATCATGAGTCAAGATAAGTATAAACTATCAATTTTATCATAACAACTACATATTTTTCCTTAGCCTGACTCATGATATATACTAGGCACATAAAGAAACTGTGCATACAAAAATTTAAAATCTAAATTTATCAAACCTGTGTAGACACATAAGGATTTAACTCAGAGATTAGTGACATGTATCCAACATGCATGCACGTGCCACGTTCCGTGACGTCAGTGGGTTCGTCCTTGAGACGTACAATACGTTGTTGCACGTGCATTCCGGGAAAGAGAAACAGAGCAAATGAATGCCACACAATACTGTCACTTTGGAAAGCCTCAACCCTGCCCTTGCGATCGTTCAAAAAATTAAACGGCTATTGAAACGCATAGCATGCCAAGGCTCACGTCTGCACAACGTCATGAGGCCATTGGGATGGTCCGTGGGGGAATGTCTCAAGGACAAGTGGCTGCACATTTCCACTGCCACCGGAACACCATTTCTGCACTGGTGAGACGCTACCAGAACACAAATGACGTCATTGATCGGCCACGTTCTGGACGTCGATGTGTAACAACGCCAAGACAGGACAGATGGATAAGGGTGACTTATCTTCGTCACAGGTTTCAGACTGCAGTGATGACTGCCCGAACCATCCCAGGACTTCGCCGTATCCACCCCAACACAGTTAGACAACGTTTACGTCATCACGGGATCAGACCACGACGTCCCGCCATACGGCCCTATCCTGACACAACGTCATCGACAAGCTCGCCGAATGTGGTGCCGAAATCATGTCCGCAGACCCTTGTTTTGGTGGAGAAATATTGTGTTTACAGATGAGTCCAGGTTTAACTTTACAATAGTGATAGACGTCAACGTGCCTATAGACGCATGGGAGAACGTTATGCACAGGCCTGTGTCTTGAGAGAAATCGCTTTGTTGGTGGTGGTTCCGTGATGATTTGAGGTGGAATAACAGCACGCCAAAGAACTCCTTTGGTGATGGGCAGAGGGACAAATCTTCTGTATCTTGTGGTCTAAGGACCGTAGACAATGCCGGGACGTAGAATTGTCGATCTGGTTGACCAGGTAGCTGATTCTTTGCTATTAAGTCCAATCTGAGACCCAGGTGGACTGCTGTATGCTCTCTGGAGTCGAACCTGGTTTGTCCGTAGTCGAGGACGTATATTTCTGACATTCTAGCCGCTGTAGCTCATTCGAATATTAACAACTCAATAGTTGTGTCTCTCAATGGTTCATAGTCGTCGCTGACAATATGTTGCAGCACTATGTTGAGGTCCCATGCTAGAGCTCTAAACTTTTGCTGCTGGTCTTCTCGTTTGAATCACCTCAGTAGAGCGACTAGTTCAGGTACTTTGGTGAGTTTAATTCCTGTATCCAGGCCCTGGGGTCATGAAAGTGACTTAAGTCTAAAAATTGCTTAAGTCTGTCATTTTGATCCTAAGTCCAAAAAATTGTCTTAAATCGGGGATCACTTACATTTTTTAGTCTTCAAAGTTAAGACTGAGATCATTTTTTGTCTTAAATCCTGAGACTGCTACCAACCAGTCTTAAGCTCTTTTAATGCCGAGTTTTTTTTCAGGCGCACAATTTCATAAGGTTTGAAAAGTGAACGTTGTGTGAGATTTGCGCTCGCGTGGTCCTGGATCTGCGTACAGCTATAAAAATAACACAGAAATGTGGAATATTAAATTTCCTATCTGTTGGTATAAATATAAATACAAATACCTCAGCGGTTTGAGAAATGCTACTGCTACATGATGTCCAAAATTTTGCTATGCGTTAAAAAACAGTAAATTTCTCCGCTTTTGATCATGCACCGGTAAAAGCAGTGTGCTACGATTTGTTTAATTTGGCATCTTTACGGAAAGTGTGAGCGAAGAAATTACAGCCTGATATCTGAACGACATAAGTATATATGAAATGGGTTTATTTGCTTGCGCATAACGTTATATGCTCAACATTAAAAATGACTCGCAATAAATGTCAAAAATGGATTTTCTTCTATGACGTCAAACGACGACAGAGAGGTCATACACGTATAAAGATAAGGGGGCATAACTCCGCTATGCTTAACACTAGGTCAATGTAACTCAGATCACTTGGAGAGAATTCGTTGTTGATACGGACGCTATATTTCCCTTTATATTAGTTCTTAAATTCACATATTCTCCTGTTTGTGTAGATGTATTTTGACTGATTTTGCATCATTATTAACCGAGTACTAGCCATATCTTCAAATGTAATGAAATTACTGAAAAGATTACAACATTGTAAGTTGACGTCATTGCTTGTTTTATGTATTTTGCGACGTCGGAAAAAGACGACATTGGTATGCTGATCAGTATATATCTTACATAATGTCCATGAATTGTGTAAAAGGTTTCTGTTCCTATGTCTGAATTTAACACTCTTTCGACAGAACTTAAAATGACTGATTTTACCATTTAAATAATGCCCTGAATAGATCCATAATTAGACGGTTTGACTGTGTATCTTAATATGAACAACACGCGCACCTGTTTGGCATCAATCTGACGTAAATTAAAAAGAATATTTCACAACACCTGGCCCCGGGGTCATGGAAGTTAAATCGCTGTTCATTAACCTGTTCATATGCAACTGTAATACTGGTCCGAATGGCGAATATTGCACATGATAGGAACTAATTAAGTACATGTTGCAGTTACGCCTACGTTTGTTCTTCTAATCCTTGTTTAAGGGTTTAAAATATGATCTACTACACTCATTATGTCAATTTCCTATATAAATATTATTCTAACAAACAAAATCCTTGAAAGAATATAAACCGTTACCCTTTATCCACGGACATGATATAGGACAAGGCTAAATGTAGATAATGAAATTATTTTCATGAACAAATTTCTGAACGATACACAAAATATATATTATTATAACACTGAAAGTGTAATCGGTGGGACATGGCGATTGTGTTTACTCTTATTCAACCGACCTTCACCTCAAAGAAATTGCCAAATATGTAAAAACAATGTTAACGTTTATGACATCACTATCGTTGACCGATTTCTTACAAAATGGCGGCTTCGCTGACATGGGTCCACAGGAGTTTGCGAGAACCTTTCCCTTGATTCTGGAATCGTTTGTACATAAATGTGTGATGTAAGTAATCAGAATGAACTGACTATCTGTGTATTCTTATATGTTTTATCGTTTTTTTTGTAAGTAAGAGAAGAAGCCAGATATGCCGATCATTACCGTTGTTGTTCTGCGAGATTTTCCGTCAGTCATGGCGTCACGCTGCACAGAAACTTTGACAATTTCGTATAAACATATCACATTACTGTATTGTATCTATTATTAATTTGCTATTTCTTGCTACGATACTATTTCCATGTATGTTCTAAAAGTATTGAGCCTATTCATGCTATGAATAGACGAATGGGTGTCTGAAATTTACGAAAATGCAGTACACAGTGTAAAGTCTCAATGTTTCTTTGTTTACATTTCAACAAGTGCTGTCTTTCGCGCACAGCGTTCGTTTCATATCACCTAGACACTAGTTTTAGTGACAAAGACCATTTCTTATTTGATACTAAAATGTATGGGGAATTCAGTGATGTATTTGTCACAGCTGAATAGGAAATATACGTGATGTAATAGGCGTCTCAATACCGGCCTTCCAATGCAATATGGCAGAAAGCGCACTTAGGCGTTCGTGTTGTTGTATTTCGAAAACATTCCAACCTTAAAGACACTCAAATTCACCGGGGCGGAGATAAAAGCGTCAGTTGACTTGTTTGGAACATTTCTGCAGGTGCATGCTACTAAACTATACTCCTCAATGAATTAATAGTGACCGGACATGATTACATCATTCTAAAACTGCCATGGTAACTGTCTTAGTCTTAGTCTTAGCTAAGATTTTGCTGAGACAGATTCATGATCCAGTCTTATCTAAAATCTTAGCAAATTTTTAAATTTTTTACTAAGCAAATTTTAGACTTAAGATTTTTTCATGATCCCGGGGCCAGGGTGATAACGGAGAGTATGTTTTTTCAGGTGTCTAGTAAGCAAATTTTTAGACTTAAGATTTTTCCATGATCCGTAGGGCCAGTTGGGTGATAACTGGAGCTGTTCGCAGGCGCCAAGCCGGATGCTGACATGGTGTATATTCCTTCAGGTGTCTGGAAAGTAGTTCTCTCAGATGGCACCAAAATCATTCTGCTTTGGTACATGAGGATGTGAAGGTTTCAGATAAAACCTTTGATCTGGTGTGAGACGAAACTGGTCGAAACTCTTCCACAGTTATCATCGTAGAAGGTTCTGTGTGTGAGTTTGACCAGGTCTTAGTTGAGGTTGTCTGCAGTGTAACTGCGTGATCTTGTTGAGCCTTGGAGATTTATGTAGAAGGCTTCTGGTGAATCATAATGACTTGCAAATAAGTCCCGTCGCAGACATTTGACTTGTCTGTCCACTAGAGTAGCTATGACTTCAGGCGCTGAGATATGGCCATCTTCTGCACACTGACGAGATGAGGTTTTAGTAAGCGTTGAAGTGGTCATAATTGCAACCTTTCTTTGCGTGTGAGAGTCTGAGCTGCCAAGCTCTTATCGGTAGTGGTGATTTGAGAGCTGCTGGAAGACATGCCTGTATGTTTGACCAGCGATGCGATTCTTTGTGGTGATGAACTTGATGCCTGGGGACTGCAGCTCTAGCTTCCTGCGTCCGACTTCATATGACTGACTAGCCAGCCCAGTTGCGATAGTAACTGGATTGTAAACTGCAGTTCACGTCTGTGTTGATCTGCTAGTTGATGCCCCTGTATGCCGTGATCTATGTAGAAGGCAATGCGAAATCCCCTTTGATGTAGAAACACAATTATGGGTTTTGTTACATGTGTAAATAACCACCGGGCCAAGGCAATTCCAAAGGGGAGGATCCTCCACTGGCAGTTGATACTGGAATCGTAGATACTTCTTCGAGGCCGGATGTATAGGGATGTGCAGATAGGCGTCTTGTAAATCCATGCTGGCTAGGTAATCGATGGGTCTGATTAGATGTTGGCATATTCAACTTGTCCAATTTAAGTATTTATAGATAGTCTAGGTTGAAACGCTTCATTTTGTTCCTGAGAGGGTACGCAAGTCCCGAAACATTCAAAGGCAATTTAAATTTACCAGATTTTTAAATGTAGCATGGTGATCAGACTTCACTTGCTGGTGATCTATAGCCCGTTTTTATATTGTATTGTTGTCTACAGTGAGATATTTTTATGATAGTGAACTAGTTTTAGATCGAGAGCTGTGATACTCCAGGAGTTTTACTATCCTTCGATGATAGATTTTTTTATGCTCTCAATTTATTGATTTTAATGTTGATATAAATTAAATTGTTCTCGTCACGATATGGCTGTAATATTGCCGATGTGATGTTAAATATTAACTCATTCACTCACTCACGCTTCATATTGTCGATATGAAACGCTTCATATTGTCCATCCACGGTTGATGCTTGTACAGGAACGGCTGGGGGTGGAATGGACCAGTCGTTCCGAACCTGATCTTCACTGACGACAGGAACGGGAGAACCCGCTGAACAGCCTCTCCCAGATCGTCCTCTTGAGGATGAGTGACGAAAATTGACAGATTTGCCTCCTCGAACTCCTGTTGTTTTCTTATCTCTGGCCTTCTGTATGCCTGGGAATTTTGATCCAAATTGTACTCATTGTGATGTCTGCCGATACATGTTGTTCATAGTCTGCATGGATCTCATCAACATTTGATCCTTGGAGTCCTGGCACACTTCCCGAGACACTGATACTGCCGTCAAATAGCGTTGGCGCTGCCCTAGGTTTACGTAGCAGAGACTTGGTGTAATAATCTGGCCAGTCAATGTGTTGACAAGGGATTACATGTAGAAGCCAGTGACAATGGATCACATTGTTAGTGTACTTCCCTAGTAACTTCTTGTTGTTCTTATTAACTATTTTGCTGTATATATATTCAACCTGTTTCAGTCTGACTCATACTTGCTTGACAACGATACAAGAATCTGTATCGAAACGTTGCATCATCCGAACAAAGAAGTTGTTCATCCATAAAGTTTTGTCCTTATCTGCACTATATTCGGTATGATCCACTTTCCAAGTAAAGCCCGACCATCAACATTTAGTCATTTTTAAATATATTATATGAAAGAACGTTTAAGAATTGAAATGATAAGGCACCCGTGAAGAGCCACCTCCTCGTGGTGGGTGCTGGGTAACGCTAATAGCTCTTCGACCTCCGTGTGGACCCGGGGGCATATTGGTCCACAGCACTCCATTGCTGGTCGTAAGACCAAATTGGGCAACCCGTTTCCATGGGTTGTGCCCCTGTGTTGGTAGAGGAGGGGAGTCTGGTCGTTGAGGGCAATGGGAGCCTAGAACCGTGTTCCTTTTGTCCAACACACCACTTCGCCCCTTACTTCACCTAGACGGGTGGTAGAATCAACCCGATTCTATCAATCGGCTGGTCATGCCGTGCCCCGTGCATAGACCATTTACTCCACATTTATCTTATTTGGTATTGGCCATTTTCGTTTTCCAGTAAACGCGTTTTTGTCATATAATACTGCCCAAAAGGCGTTGGCTCATGTGCCAATGTAGCATTATTGACCTCCATGTCAAAATTGTCATCAAATAACTTTACAGGGCAGAGCCAACGTGACTTTTATTCTGTTTGGCACTATTTTCTACCTGTGTTGATATTGCTTGAGTATAACATCCCTGTAGCCCTAGTGTCTGCAGTCGGTTTCCACTACAACACTGTCCTTGTTGACACTCGATGGCGGGTGGGAATATTTTACCTTTCAACATGGCTTCCTCTCAAATTACTGGTTCTCAGTACACAAATAAAAGACGGCATATTGATGCAGACACTGTTTCATCTTCTGATGATGAAAGTTCTGTTTTAACTGTATATTCATGGACACGATTTCTGGTTGTAGACCATTTCTCTGATGCTGAGATTGTTGTATCAGTGCACAAATCATTAAATTCGTGTCGAGGCATTGTTCGAGATCGTTCGAAATGTTTGTCTGACAAATCAGAAGAGGAGATTTAAAAAGAACTCAAATCTCAAGAGGTGACATCCGTTTCACAAGAAAAGATAATGATAGAATAGTCAATACTAACACCTACCTGTTTACCTTTGCCCTTTTAAAAATACCGACATCTATCAAAGCTGGATATCTGAACATCGGTGTGGATACATATATCCCAAATCCACTCTGTTGTTTCAAGTGTCAACATTTTGGTCATGGGGCCAGTTCTTGTAACAACTCCCCAATTTTCTCACGCTGCAGTTGAAAACATGAGAACACTGATTGCACAAATGCCATCAAATGAGTAAACTGTAGTGGTGAGCATATGTCTTACTCCAAGCAATGTCTAGTATTTGAGAAAGAATCCAGGATTATTAAAGTCAAATATACAAACAACATTTCTTTCTCTGACGCCAAGAAATTGGTTGCGGACCAGATGCAAAAAAAACCGAAAAACATTTACCAAAGTCGTACTCTGTTGCAGTCTCTTCTTCCATCCAAAAGGTGGATAGTGTATGCCAGACAGCAATTAGCTGGGTCAAAGTCAGAAAAAACATCCTCTAACCTCTTTCTGAGATGACCTAAACGTTTGAGATGACTTCAACATCTGAAACACAGACTGATGTGCCATCTACCCCTCAGTCTCGAACAATTGACCGTAGACTGGAATCTGTGCCAGAAAACCATACTTGGAAAAAACCCGACCCCAACAAAAGAGTCTTTTTCAAAACAGAAAGGAAACAACAAGAACATCAAAGAAGCAAAGACCCTTAAGCAAATTGAAGTATCTTTACACAATCCTTTAGAGGTTCGTAACAGTTTTGAACCCCGGGATATGGAAACCTCTCCATTGCCGCCATTGCAGTGCAAAGGACCTTCCCTTCATTAGCGATCTCTAGTTAAACCACCATGAGTTACTCCACCAGCTGCAGTTTATTACAATGGAATGTTAGAGGACTTCGGAACAATTATAATGACCTCCAGCTATAAATCCAGGATTACAAACCATCAGCTACAGATTCCAATGTATTAGGTGAATATGAAATGGTGAGTTCATGATGACCTCTGTGGTAGTGACCATTTCCCTACCGTATTAAAATCCGACACACCATCTGGTGTTCCTCCGTCCTCGAGATGGAATTTTACTTAAGCACACTGGGCTTGCTATGAAACTCTTTGTTCAGAAAACCTAACACTTGATGTTTTTAGTGATGTTCCCGACTCTATAAAGCTCTTCTCCAATAAGCTTCTAACGAAATAGCTGATGAATGTATTCCGAAGTCCTCTGCAGATCTTCACATACGTAAACCTTGGTTTACTCTTGACTGCAAACAAGCACGGAAGGCACGGAAGATGCTGAACAGTATTTCCGTCGCTATCCAATGGTTCATACTTTAAGTAAATTTAAAATTCTAAATGCAAAAGCCCGGTGTACTTTTAAACAAAACAAACGCCAATCTTGGCGAAATTATGTTTCAAAGATAAATTCACGAACGCCAATGTCAAAGGTATGGAACATGATCTAGAAAATTAAAGGTAAGGGTAAGGGACAAGCATACACCATCTCAAAGCAGGAAATCAGTTGTTAACTGATGAATCTGATACCGTAAATAAGCTGGGTGAAACGCTTGCAAAACATTTTTCCTCATCTAACTAATGTTCCTCAATTTCAAAAATACCAAAAACAGCAGGAGAAGAAAATTATAAATTTTCATTCGGATAACGGGGAAGATTATAACGAAATCTTTTCTATTCATGAACTTCAACATGCTCTTGAACAAGCCCATAATACTGCTAAAGGGGCTGATGATATACATTATCAACTCCTAAAACACTTACCTGAGCCATGTTTAGAGACAATGTTGATTATTTTAGATGAATTTGGAGGGTCCATGCAGGTAGCAAAGGTACTGTAAGTCCCCATGGTCCCTGTTATGGTGATCTACCTTCAGTTGTTGGCGATCTATAGCCCATTTTTATACTGTTGTCCTAACTTGAAATCCAATTTTAGAGAGAGTT